TCGGCGGCGCCCGAGGGCCCCTTCCCTGCCCACCTGGTGGACGTCAGCGGCACGGGGACGCTGTCGCACTCTTACCAGTATGAGGTGTGTCTGAGGGGAACCTCCGACAGCAACGAATTTACATTTCTGAAGCCAGCTTTAGTTAATGTGCCTAGTCATTCCACTGGGCCAGAAATGGAAGAAAACCTCCATTATCGGAATAACCTAGATTTCAATCTTCAGTTAAAATAGTCGTGTTTTAGTCCATATTTTAATTTTGTGATAAATTCAAATTTATGGGGTTTTATCAGTTAAATTATATTAAACTAGCTCCTAGATTTATGTTGTTGCTGTTTTTACAATTGGCATCCTGCTGGGGATATAGATCACTTGGTGTAGTACTGTCTTTGCATGTGTGCCCTGGATTTGAACTCCAACACTATGTGAAAGAAGCAGATATTGTGTTTTCCTCTATGAAAATAATAAGAAATCCTCACTTTCAAACATTTATTATGTTAGCAGTTGTACAAATCCTTTTTCAAGTGGTATACAGGGGGAAATTACTTGTACATAACCACGTATCATTCTTCGTACTTTTTTTGTGGCACATCGGAAGCATTAATAGGCTAACACTGAAGTGTAATCGCAAAGGATGGTGGTAAAATGTGAATGGCTGGCTCTTTCTTTGTTTAGCCCTCATAGCACTAATTTTAGTTGATGTTGTTTCTTTTAAAATATTCCACAATTGCATTGCTTATTAGAATATCAGAACATGTTTTAGCATAATTTTTAAAAGTGCTTTCTACTTAATCTCACTGGTGGTAAACAAGGAGGAAACTGCAACGTATTTATCTAATGAGAGGAAGTAACATGGAAATAAAATTGGCCTTTCTCGTTTGAGAAATATTGACAGGAACTGTAATGAGCAATATTCTTTCATCATTTCTTCTTTAGTAGCAGATCTCAAATTTCATATAGGGTATAGTGTACTCAGAAGAATACATTTTCACAATCATCTTGGCTCTTAAACGGGGACACATGACTGGGTTGTAGTCAAAGAGATGTATGTTCAAATTGTCACAGGAAACTCCAAAGACTACTTTTTAGTGCAGTGCTAGAGATCAAATCCAGAGTCTGCAACATCTTAGGCAAGCATTTGACCACTGAGCTATACCTTTGGCATTCATGAAGACTTTTTTTTTAGATACTGAGATTGAATCCAGAGTCTTCACACTCAACCACATCCCCAGCCCATATTGTAAAAGAAATTTAATAGAAAGTCTCTAAATTGCCCAGCCTGAGCATCAACTTTCAATCTCCCTGCCTTGTAATCCCAATACCAAAGTACTTTGGAGTTACAAGCATGCATAACCATGTCTTGCTCCAAGAATACTTTAAAATTAGATGATTCATCTGGGAAATGATACCCCTTTTATCTCTTCTCTGTTCTGTGAAATGTGTATGTCATGGTGAGTGTACAGACAGCCATTTTTGGATCCTAATTACAGAAATAATAGAAAAAGACAGTAAAACTTAAAAGAGACCAAGGACACCCTAGTGTCCATGGTGTCGTCATGTCACCCCCCCACCGGATTGCATACTTCTGAACTTTGTTTACTTGAAGAATGAAGAAACTTCACCTTAGGATCATTATTTCAGTTTTTATACTACTTCCAGTGTAATTTAAAGCTTTAATAGTAAATTTTAAAATTAAAATTACATACATATGCATTACTGCATATGTAATATACACAGAGCTCAAGTGTACAGTTTAACCTAGCTGGCCTTTTCAATGTTTCTATTTCTTGATCTTTACAGAGTTAAAAGTAGTATAGAGAGCACTTTATGTTCATTATCATTTAATACTTTGCCAAATTCTATTGGGATTAGCATCTTATCCCCTTATCCCACTTACATAGAAGAAAATTAAGGGAAAGAAATGTCAATTAACTTACTCATAATATTCAGTAACACAAGGAAAAACTTGAAATATAATCTAAATGCATCTGAATGTCGTGCACTAGTTCTTATCCACTAAGCTATATTATCATGCATTAACTGGTAGTATCATTTCCTGAGGAGCAAATCCCACGTATTAGTCCTATTCCTACTCCATATAGTAAATTCCCATGTGAAGATAAAACTTTAAGCATATTGTTTTCTATACTGCTTTAGTTCAGTAAACAAAATTCTTGGAGAAGTACTGACCTAATTAACCTAGTCATTCCCCACCGCTGACTTCAATGATGAGAGTCAACATAATCATGATCTTGTATGTTCTCAGTATGTAACATTCATTACTGTGTAAATGAGTGCTCTGAATATGAAGTGGAGCTGTCCTATGCTAGCTGCCTTTCTGTATTTTTAGGTGTATTTTTTAGTCCCTTATTCAAAGCAAACATTCATTTTAGTACATCATATGTTTGAAAGTAGTTGCCATTGTAGTATTAATTCTAACTAAATTTAATATTAGAAAAGTACAGGCAATATTCTGAATATATTCTTATTGCTAAATAACTTGGATATCCTAGAAATTCAATAGGAAGAAAACAGATGAGCTCCTTTTATTTTATGTTAAGATGACTACATATCTTTACCAAGTCCTCCAGAAAATTTTATGTGAGTTATAAAAGACTTTATTCTTAAAGAATGATTCTTCAGAGTGCAATGAAACAGTCTTCAGGGGCTGGTGAGATGGCTCAGTGGTCTAAAGCACCTCCTTCGAACAAGCTTAGCAAAGCACAGGGACTGTGGTTCAATCCCCCAGCACCACATGCCAGCCAGCCCCGCCCCCTGGTGGGCTGAGCTGGCCACACACACACACACACACACACACACACACACACACACATAAATAAAATTAAAAGAAACAGTCTTCAGCATTTTCTATAATATTATTCTTGTACAAGTTAAATTTTTATTGAATTTAGCTTCTGGGTACATGAGAATACATGTTTGTGTTATACATTAGTTTTCTATACTTGATGGAGGAAACACTACAAAATTAGTTGTTTGAAAGAATAAATTGCATCATCTTACAGTTTTCAAATCAAAAGTCTGATATACATCTTATTGAGCTAAATTCAAGAACAGCAGGGGTGCATTGCATTCTGGTGGCTCCAGGCAGAGCCCATTTCTTTGTCTTTTTTCCTTACCTAGACACTCACCATATTTCCCTATTCCCTTGCCAAGAAAGGGTGACCTCCCACTCACAAGGCTCCTAACTAAATCAGATTCGCAAAAAAATCTGCCATCATTAGTAACATGTTTACAATCTTTGAGTCTACTGCAAAATGGCTGCTTGGGATTAAATTCTTTAGTCCATCGATACCACAAGTAGCCAAAGAAAAGCTCAAAAAGGTCTGTATAGAAGGAGTCTCATTGATATGATGTTTAAATTCAAGACAAGTTAATTAACAAATGTCTAAAATTCATTAGTAAAAACATTGAATTGATAGAGGTGTCATGAATTATATGTGATGCTAGGGATAAAAATCAAGGCCTTATCCATAAGCACATGTTCTACTGATCTACCCACCTACCCACCATTATCTTCATTGCTATTTATTTTTTATTTTTTAAATTTTATTTTATTTATTTATTTATCTTGCAGAACCGGGGATTGAACTCAGGTCCTTGTGCTTGCTAGGGAAGTGCTTATTCTACTGAGCTATCTTCCCCAGCTCCTTCATTGCTATTTAACCCACTGCAGAAATAGAAAACCTGTACCAAAGAATCCAGATAAGAGTCTAGTACCTTAAATGCATAAAGAACTCTTTCAACTAAATTTAAAAATGGGCAAAGACCTGAACATTTTTCCATGGAAAATCTATGAATAGCCAATATACACATGAAAGATGCTCAACATCATTAATCATCAAGAAACTCAAAATAATCACAAGACACCACTTACTACCCAGTAGAATGGTCACAATCGAACAGGCAACAAGTGTGGGGAGGATGTAGAAATGCTGGAATTAGAGAGCACTGATGAAAATGTAAAATGCTGCCACCCTTTTAGAAGACAGTCATTCCCCCAATTAAACAGACACAGAATTTCACTCCTAAAAAAATAAAAACATGTTTCCATACAAAATCTTGTACATAAATGTTCATAGCAGCATTTTTCAGACTAGCTAAAAGGTGGATGCAGCCCAAAATGCTCATCCATTAGATGAATAAATCATAAAAGTGTGGTACAACTATGTGATAGAATATGACTTAACTATAAAAAGAAATGGAGTATGGATACATGCTAAACTGAGATGAGCCTTAAAAGCACAATGCTAAGTGAAAGAAGCCAGTCACAGGAGTTCATATATCATTCTATTCATAGAAAACCCTGAAATAGAAAACTCTAAAGAGGGAGAGGAAAAAAAAGTAGAGTTAACTACTGCTAAAGGTAGGAGAAATGGAGAAACAGGACAATAGTTTCAGAATACAATGTTTTTCAGGTGATAGAAATGTTGTAAACCTGATTGTGATGACAGATGTGCAACTCTGAATATATTAAAAGCCACTCAACTGTACAATTTAAATGGGTTAATTAAAAAAATAAATATGGGTTAATTATATGGTTTGTGAGTTATACCCTGGATTTTTTTAAAAAGAGAGAATGAATCAGAAATTGGTCCTGTCATAATCAATAAGAAGCCAAAATTGTGGCAGGTCCTAGCTTGAGATCTGCTCATCTAGAAAATAATTTTCTCATAATTTGAAGATCATAACATTCACAGTTCTTGGGCTTGGACGTTGGGACTCAAGTGTACCCTTCAGAGCGTCTTTGATTGCACTTTTGAAGTATCTACTTCCTTATAATCCTATACAAACACTATGAAAAAATATGCTTGGGAAACTGGCCTCATGTTACTTTGGAAACATTCTACTGCTATGTTTATATTCTCAGCTTAAATGTTAAATTCTCTTCATTATTCATTAACACCTTAATAGCATAAAACACTCTGATATTTGTACTCCTTCCTCTGCAACATCACAAAGGTCTTGGAACTCAGTGTTTTACCCACATCACGTACATACCTTACTCCACACAGTTCCAGAATTTTACCTGCAGTGGACTTGAAAATGCAAGATTCAGAACGCGCGGTGGCGCTGCAGGGTAAGAAGTGAGAAAACTGCCTCAGCAGCAGTTCCCATGACCAGTTTCTCCGCCACAGGAATGAAAAGATACAGCTTTTTCAGGGAGAGCAAAAGAAGCTGTGAAATCTTTAAAGCTATTTGGCTGCTTGGTTCGGGCGTTCTGGACTATATAGGACGGCGCTACCAGGATCCTGGGCATTCATGAGGCTCTTGTGAACCGAATTGTGAAGCAGCAGTAATGGAGATGGGATGCGTGCATAAAAAGAAAAGAAGGCAAGTTCTCGTTTTCTTTACTTTACTGAGCATGTCTGTGGCTAGCGCCCATTTGGGGCCCTACTCGGTAGTGGAAGAAATGGAGAGAGGCTCCTTAGTGGCAAATCTAGGAAAAGATCTGAGGCTGGAAGTGGGAGAGATGTCCATCCGCGGGATCCGAATCATTTCCCAGGGGAACAAAGAGCATTTGCAGCTCAAGGTTCAAACTGGGGATTTGCTCATAAATGAGAAACTAGATCGAGAGGAACTGTGCGGTCCTACTGAACCTTGCGTACTACATTTCCAAGTGTTGCTAGAAAAACCCTTAGAGATATTTCAGGCTGAACTGAGAGTGAGAGACATAAATGACCATTCTCCCGTGTTCAGTGAAAACAAAATGGTTCTAAAGGTAATGGAAAACAGTCCTCTGGGAAGTGCGTTCCCTTTGAGTAACGCTGTGGATTTGGACATAGGGAGTAATACGGTTCAGGATTATAAAATCAGCCCCAATTCCTATTTCCGCGTGGGAACTCGGGAGCTAAGTGATGGTAGAAAATACCCTGAGCTGCTGTTAGAAAAAGAGCTGGATCGGGAAGAGGAGCCTGAACTAAGATTAACCCTGACAGCTCTGGATGGTGGCTCTCCGCCCAGGTCTGGAACCACCCAGGTTCACGTTGAAGTGCTGGATACCAACGATAACGCCCCTGAGTTTCAGCAACCAATCTACAAGGCGCAGATTCCTGAAGACAGCCCAGCAGGTTCTCTGATAATCACTGTCTACGCCCACGATTTAGACAGCGGAGTCAATGGAAAAGTATCCTACACATTGTTTCAGCCTTCAGACCATATTAACAAAACCTTGGAGATAGATCGTGTGACAGGGGAAATTCGGCTGAGAAAACAAGTTGATTATGAAACAATCTCGTCATATGAGGTAGATATTAAGGCCATAGATGAAGGAGGTCTTTCAGGAAAGTGCACTCTTCTCCTGAACGTGGTGGACGTGAATGATAATCCCCCAAAAGTGACCATGTCGGCATTAACCAGGCCTATCCCAGAGAACTCGCCAGAGATGGTAGTTGCTGTTTTCAGTGTTTCAGATCCAGATTCCGGGAATAATGGGAAGACAATTGCTTCCATTGAGGACGACCTTCCTTTTTTTCTAAAACATTCAGGGAACAGCTTTTACACACTGATAACACAGGGAGCACTAGACAGAGAAGAAAGAGCCGACTACAACATCACCATCACCGTCACGGACTTGGGGTCACCCAGTCTCAAAACCCAGCACACCATAACCCTGCAGGTCTCCGACATCAACGACAATGCCCCCACCTTCACCCAATCCTCCTACACCCTCTTCGTCCCAGA